TCAATTCTCGGGGTCTACACAGATACTGTACATGGGTAGGGTGAGGTCTAGGGATCGAACCCTGGGTACTGCATCCGCTACTGCTAAAAGGTGAAAATGACAAAACGCACTTTAATTTAAGAAATTAAGACAGAAAATATGTGCTTGCAGCCAAATAACCGATAGGGTCAGCGATCCCTGATTTAACCGTGGAATGACGAAGAGTTATCGTCCTTATAGATGACGGTTCTCCTCATTTCCAATTTTTGTGATTCATGAACTTGACATGAGAAGAAAGTACAAGGAACCAGCCTCATGTTTAATTGGATGTGTGTGCATAACAGTGTGTGCTTGCTCACTTTTGTTCTGATTTATTAAATTATTACGACCAAATCAGTCCTTTTTTCTGCGTTTGTAAGTTTATACGAAGTTCATGCTTTATACATACAGTTCTAACTTATAGTCACCATGAGGAGTTGGTATGGCAGGCTTGGGAGCTTGCTTTTGCAGAAACATTGCCGCAACAGAAATTCATACGAATGTATCCTAACTGCTGACAGTGCTGAGTGATCTCTTAGTACTTTTTGTTTTAAATAAATGATTGCTGATTCTGAGCTGAATGATCTGATTAGTACCTTTTCTTTTCCCTCCTACCTTTTTGTTCTTTGAAAAATTTTGAAAGTTTTCTTTACGTGCAACAGAAGAGGACGGGCATTTCGTCCCTTGCCCATCCTCTTCTCAAGCAGACTGAAAGATTCCCACGACCCGCGCCACCATGGACTTCAAATATCGTAAACGGCAAGCTGTGCAATTGTTGTAAGTCGTGTCGGTTCTGCAGCTCAATTGAAAGCTATGCAACAAGTGTGTGGAAGCAGACTGAACGATCCCCACGACCTGCACTAGGACGCACTTCAATTCTGGAAGTGCAAGTGTTAGCCAGAAAGCGCATGCCTGTCCTTTTCGCTTGATTTCTCGATTTCTGTATGTCATCCTTGCACAGGGGCCATGCTAATCTTCTCTGTATCGTTCAAATTTTAACGGGTTGTCCCGCTGGACCTTTTCGCTTCATTTACAAAGAAGCAAACTGTAAGATTTTATTGATCGTTTTATGATTGATGATGGTTTCAACTTTCTCTATGTGCTGTGCCGACTGTTGGCAGAGGCACAGAACGGAGATCGAGCGATGTGAAGCGAAGCATGAAACTCAACTAAGAATAAAGTTGGATGAGTTGAGGCAATGCTGTGAGAAAGAGAAGAAGGAGATTGAAAGCCAGTTGCTGAAGGTGTTCGACTCTTTTGAACACTCCCAAAGTTGTTTACAGTTTGGCATTTGAATGCAGTCTCCTTTTTTCCTCTTCAATTCCAACAAACTCCTTTGACTTGCCGCGCGCGTTCTTGTGCCCCCCCCCCCCCCCCCCCCCCCCCCCCCCCCCGCCGGAAAAAGGGAAAAAGAAAAAAGTCATTCAAGTCGTTCAAATAATTTAGCACAAAACTTGAGGCTTTACTCTCGACGAGGACATAATGTGGTACACAGGATAGTACCGACATGCAAATTGCACGCCAACATCGCCCTTCTGCCTCGTCCACTCAGATGACGATCTCCCCCCTTCCTCTCAATATATATTATATAGTTGTACCCTACTGGTAGATTTGCAACCTACCCTCCAAGTTTCCATGTCCCCTTCTATTCACCCTCCGTGCATCCTCGTTCCTTCAGTCACCTCAATCTCATCCGTTTGTCCACCCTAGGATACGTTGCTGACGTCGATCCTCTCGATGTTGCATCTCATCAGGGCACCTGATACCTGGCACGTGCTCTCACCAATTCTTTTTGGCTGATTCCATATTCGCTTTTGTCTGTGCTCGTGACTTGCCGTGGTCCCGTTGCAATGCGACCTTAGAATCCGCGGTTACCATCTGTCACAGAGATTTGTAGTAGAGAGTCCCTAAAGCTTTGTAATACTTGTCAGCCTGTCCGTTGTCATGCCGAGCGCATTTCTACCCGTTTCAGTCCTGACATTCAGCAGCGGTTGGTTCAACTGTCATTGCATCGATTATTATTTATTTAATTTAATCATATGACATCCTTATCAGAGTCCCAATCACATCACCGAGACTGCTGATGTAACCAGCGAAGAATCCTTGCTCACGCTTTTTTGTTCGTCTTTGATCTCTGAATAGCAACGGCTGCGTGCCTTGATGTCTCTGTCGGATATCCCAACTGACGGGCTTCAATAAAGAACCATTTAACGGAATTTTAACCACGTCCACTACATCTGACTGTCTTGTGGTGAAGTGTGGCAAGTATTGTGATCTCTTTAAATTTCAAGGGACCGAAACTCTTGAAATGCTTAATCGTGTGAAATCGACCACCAGCGCTTTCCAATTCTGGGGGCATCAGCCCGGTTCTGGCTCCTTTCCATTCTGGGCGCATCAGCCCAGTTCCAATTCCCCTGGCGAATCAAGAATACAATAATACTCGCCATGCGGCAACCATAAATTAAAGCTATGCGGACAGGGAAAGGACATGGATAAGAATGACGATGGAGGGCATGGAGGACCCTGGTCAAGCTGTTACCCTGGTGGTCAAAGACTTGGAATCGCAAGTGGTCATACGAAAGGATCTCATTAGGAAGGTAAAGGTTGTGGAGCGCTTGGGAAAAAAAAAAAAAAAAACAGGTGTATAAAGCCAGAGCCTCACATTCTTTCATCCTACAACAGAAGTCCGAGACTTAGACGTCCACTCAGAAGTTATGGCCTTGGAACTTCTTTTTTTTTTGGGGGGGGGGCGGGGGGAATCTGGGCAAGGCCTGCAGGTCAGAAGAATGGCGTCGGAACATCAGAAAGCTTAGGGAGAAAGGAAACTTAGTGTGAGATATAACTTGCTCGAGAGTCGAGTACACGAAAAGGTGAGGCTATGAATTAAGGATGAGGTAGGTAGCACTCACCCCGATGATAGCATCAAGATGGTGGGATCACCTTAACATAGACCCGTCAAGGCCAGAGAAACGCTCTCAGAAGTTGGCACACCATTCCTCCTATACAACCACCCTCGTTTGAGGAGCCTGCAGTGGTTGATTCCAAATCTGTGCAAGGAACCTGGCCGGTGGAGAAACGCAGACCACACACACCATGAACTCTTACAATAGCGCTTGACCAGCATGACCACAAATCTGTGCAACAAAGGGATTAGCAGAATTGGCAAAGAAATGATCACACGAGCACAAGAATGAACAATGTTGAAATCTCTTGATGATGAAAGCTCCCTTTCTCGCCTCCAACCACCAATTAGAACACAACAGTAGTATTTCACTGCCCTCAGTCGTCTCTGTACCAGCCCTAGTGAGCACTTGCACTATCATCTACACTATCCTATACCACACAGTGTCATTCCGCAGAGTCGCGTGCCACTTTCACTCCTGCTGATGACTGCTTAAAGAGTCTGATCCTGCTGGAGCTTTCCCTGCTGACCACCAGGTAAGGATCCACCAACTCTTCCCTTCTCCACAGTTTTCTTTTCCAAGGATCTCCCCGTACTGCCATGGCATCGCTATGGCGCCCTTTTAGGCACGTCACGACACCACTAGCCACCTTCTTCCTTCTCAGAACGGTACCGCTATGGCACCGACCTTCTTCCCAGGGCCCAAACTGCCATGGTGCCGGCCTGGGTCTCCCCTCACAGCCAACCCGCTGCCGGCACTGCCTGTTGGCTGAAGCCAGTCCTTCCTCCCACTAGCGCAGCTCGCTATGAGCACATAGCAGCCTATTCATATTCAAACATCCTCCAGCCAAGGCCATTTTGACTTGCTCCGGCTTTCTTTAAGTACTTCCGCCGGTCATCTGTTGAGCCCGTATGCACTGCCTTCCAGAGGCTTCCAGTTTCGGCCTTGCTCTACCAGCTCTCAGATAGAATGGCTGCTGGACCCAATCCTTGGCTGACCAGGTCGTACGGTTCCTCTGTTGTCTGCTGGGATGGCCTAGGGTCCTCGCATCTGGCGGTCCAGTGGACAAATGGCTTAACAGGAGAAGCCACAAGGAGTATGGGAGCCCTGCGAAAGAACTCTGCACCATCGGTAGGGAAGTAAAGTGCAAGATGTCTTCTATTGCTTCTTCCAGAGGGACAGGGCAAATCCCGCTTCGGGAGAAAGGGAAGGGAAAGTACCACTGCAGGACCTACTACTGCGCTTGACAGGTTTCGTCTCCTTCAAAAAGAACTTCTTTGGAATGCTGAGAAAAGCCGTCTTAGGGGTTAATATGGAAGAGGAGATGCCAGGAAACAGTAGACAAAAAGTCGTGCAAGTTAATGACGCCTGGTCATTAGTATAACAGCAGGCAGAAACGGATCTCGTATGTTACATACTGATGCCACACGGGTCCCTTTTGGACCCGACCACTAGGCTAAAGGGGTACTTAGGCCAGCCCAGCTAAAAGGCCGGACCTTTCTCCCGGTAGGCCACCTTGAGGCACCGGTTGGCCTTCCTGCAGCAGATCAGGTACAGGCCCAAACGACATTACCGTTGGGCCTGGCGGCGCCCTTGAGGCTGCCGCCCGCCGGTCTGATCTGAATCGTCAATTTTGACGATTCAGATCATGGCGCGTTGAGGCAGCGTTGAGGCCGACCGGCCACCCGCCGGTACTTAGGCCGGTCCAACGGCCATTCCAGGGATCTTGGGAAGCGGCACTGTGGAGCGGCAGTGCTGCGCTATTCTGGGTTCGGCACAGCGCTGGGAACTGCAGCGCTAAGTTTAGCGCACTGCAGTAGAGAGGAGCGTGGAGGAGACTTGCCGGCTGCTAAGTTTAGCGCACTGCAGTAGAGAGGAGCGTGGAGGAGACTTGCCTGACTGCCGCCGTGAGCACCATAGCTCCAGCGGCGCAGCTATCTCCAGCAGCAGCAAGGCGCCACCTTCAGTTACAAGTAGGGCCTGGGCTACTCGCCAGCTCCGCCGATGCTCTGCCCCCTCCCGGGACTTCTTCTACTACCTCTACCCCTCTCAGTCGTCTTCTCCTTCTTTTTCTTCTTCTTCTTCTTCTTCTTCTTCTTCTTCTTCTTCTTCTTCTTCTTCTTCTTCTTCTTCTTCTTCTTCAGACTGGAGACTATTGATACGAGTTCAGTGATTGGACTTCGGTGGTAGGAGGCTGTGATACTTACCGGATTCGAGACATTGGAGATAGTTGGGATTGATACCTGGCGGCATCACAGATCAGACATCGGTTACATTAGGGTTCTGTACCTCCGACATTGGTGACTTATGTCCACGACATTCTGATTTTGTTCGGTGACATTTTGGGCTACCATATCGGTGACCTTCTGGATTCTATCTCAGTGACATCTGGCGCTGTCCATATCTCCCACCTCCATCGTCTCTCCTCCCACCATTCATCTGTGTATGATTGTACGGGGCCTGAAGCACCGTCTATGTATGGCTTCAGACCCCACCATCTCACGATTGCTTGTGTGTTGAGTGATGTTTGGGTGAGTTCAGTCTATGTGAGTCAGTCCATTTCTCAGACTTCCGCTGTATACATGCTCATCCTGTATATTGGTTGATCTTTGGTTCTGCCCATACTTAGTGAAGTACTCACTAGTATGCAACATCGTAGCAGAATGGAGGAAATGACGGAGAAAGGATTCAAAGTTCAAACATATAAAAGCATTCCAAAGGGACTTTTTGGTAGAAGGCAATCTAGCCACTACAAGAGGTAGGATGTGGCATACTGCGTAGCCACACGGGCCCTGCAGGGCCCGTCCCGGACATTCAGCCTAAAAGCCTAAAACTTAGGGCTTACAGGCCCCGGTCGTTTCAGCCTGAAAGCTGAAAAACGAGGGCCTGCAGGCCCTACCCCGTTTCAGCCTATTTCTGGGTCTTTTCAGACCCAGAGTTTTCAGCCTGAAACGGAGGGCCATTTTCAGGCCCTCATTGTTTCGACCTGCCCCTAAGACTCAGGCACGGAAACAGGGATGCGGAACAGGCCAGAAATAGCCTGTTCCTCACGAACTCGAGCAGGAGCTGCAGCTGCAGCCCCTGCCTCCGGTCGGCATTGGCAAGAGCAGCCTCTTGGACTGCTCGCCAGCAGTCAGGAGGCACCCCGGTAGTACATAGGACTGTCCTAGGCACTTCACGGGTAGGTAGAGTGGTCAGTGCACACGAGTAGTCTTCAGGATTTCGGCCGCAGCACTCAGGAGGAGCGCTGCAGTAGTCTTCAGCGCTAGGTAGTATTAGCGCTAGCTGTAGTCTTCGGCACTGGGCGCCATAGCTGTAGTGGTAGTCTTCAGCGCTGGGCGCTGGTAGGTGGTAGATCGTAGAGTGGGAGAGAGACTGGCGGAGGCCAGTGGTACTTACCTGTGGCGCCATCGCTGGTAGGTGGTAGATCGTAGAGTGGGAGAGAGACTGGCGGAGGCCAGTGGTACTTACCTGTGGCGCCATCGCTCCAGCTCCATCTTCGTGGTACCTGCATCAAGGCGCCAACTTCACAGGTTAGTACTGGACACAGAGAGAGAGAGAGTTCTTCTTCTTCCTCTTCTGACTTGGTGTTGACGACATTCCCATCTTCCCCTCCTCTTTCGTCTAACCCCTCCTTCTTCGTCTGTGTATGGTTGGGGCTGGCGCAGTCTTCTTGTGTGAAGCGCCAGACCCCCTTCACACCAGATAACGATGATGATGATGTGTGTTCAGGGCTGCATTGCAATATTGATTGTTCGGATCATTCGTATCTAAGTCTTCCGCTGTGTTACCTTGTACTTTGTATTGAGAGGTCGGTTCTTGTTCTGGTCTGCACATTACAGTATGCAACATAGGACCTTCGTCTTTCAACATTTGGGAAGGATTGAGAAAGCAAAGCGCATCAGTTGCTACATCACTTCACACCTGAAAGAACTGACAGTGTCAGAAGTACACATGTCAGAAGTACACATGGATAATGCTCAAACAGTAGACAGGGGAATGAAGAAGAGAAGGGGGACAATAGTTCATGCGAAGAGGAGAAGGGGGACAATAGGTAAGTGTAAGCAGGACCGCGCGGTTGACGTCTCACCCTTTTCACAGCTTTACCAGGCAGCCAGTTACCCACGGGAAGAGAGGAATGGTCTTGTTATGGCCTTCTAGTCCGCTTTTTGGGATGGGGCAAGAAAGTACTGGGACATCGGGAAGCCGTTACTTGGTATGGGTACTATGGGGGTCTCTGAGACTCTGACAGTCCATCCTCCCGACTGGGGGCAATCAAAGGTATTGGAGGTTCCCCTAGCCATGACATGGGGAATGCACTACTTTGAAATTCAAGAAAAAAAAGGGGTTTTGAAACTCGACCATTCTGTGCCATCCTTCTGCACCGTACCAGTTCTCGTTGTCTGTCAGGCATCCATATTGCTTCTCCGCATGCTCTATATCGCTTTTGTTAATCTCCTCTTCTCACTTCTTTTCCTCTTCTCCCTTCTCCTCCTTCTCCTCCTTCTCCTCCCCCATCATATGTAATGCAGCATCCAGTCTCCTTCTCCTCCTGCTATGTACCCCTCTTCCTCCATTATCCTTGTTGGTGTCTGCCTCCTCCTTCTCCCCCTCCTCTGCCTCTTGTTCCTTCTCCTCCATGTTCCCCATATGGAATGTGACCCTCTTATTCCTTCTCCTTTTGCTATGTACCCCTTTTCATCCCCTATCCTTAGCCCTTCTACTCCTTGTAGATGTCCTCCTCCCCCTCCTCTTCGTATTCTTCCTGCTCCTCCCTGACCTCCCCCGATTTGGAATGCACCAACGCGCCTTGCAAACACGTGTCGAGTTCTTGAACTGAGAGTTGAAACTCCTGTTTGAATCCTTGTCACCAATCCAGGACCATGCTGAAGCTGTACAGAGGTTGGAATCAGTGAACCAGTCTAGGCTTTCGGAGATGGAAAAAAGGTGAGACTCCTTGCATTTCCCTCTTGGGCTGGTGAATGCAGTCTCCCAGCACGTTGGAGGAGATGTAAGGACAAGAAGCAAAACACTCTTTCAATAGTTTGTCATGACTTTCTCCCTTGTACCTTTACCATAGTGTTCAGAGGGTACCCTGCAGGAGTCTACTGAGCATTGCAGTGTAGGCAGGCACACTGCTTCACAGTGAAAGAGAAGAAGACGACAGGAAAGGAAAGCAGGAAAGAGAAGAGGAAATGAAGCAGAGAAAAGAAGAACAAGAGGAGTGAAGAGAACAGAAGATAAGAAGAGAAGTGAAGCGGAGAGGAGAGCAGATGAGAGGGAAAGCAGAAGAGGAGAGGAGAGGAGAGGAGAGGAGAGGAGAGGANAGAGGAGAGGAGAGGAGAGGAGAGGAGAGGAGAGGAGAGGAAAGGAAAGGAGAGAAAAAAGGAGAAGAAAAGAGGAGATGAGAGAAGAGGCAAGACGAGACAAGACGAGAAGAGAAGAGAAGACAAGACAAGAGGAGAAGAGAAGACAAGAGAAGAGAAGAGGAGAGGGCAAAAGAGGAGTGGAGAGGAACGGAGATGAGTAGAGAAGGAAAGAGGAGAGGAAAGGAGGAACAGAGCAAGAAGTGTACAAAAGAAGAGAAATAGAAGAACAGGAAAACAAAGATAGGAATGAAAAGGAAGGACAAGGACAGATCAAGAGGCGTACAAAAGAAGAGAAATAGCAGAACCGGAAAACAAAGATAGAAATGAGAAGGAAGAACAAAAAATATTAGATTTTCGATGACAGTAGTAGTCAGACGGTGCAGACAGACAATCTCCGATGCTTGCACCTAATTTTTGAAAAGAGAAGCTGTCAAGCATGCGTGCTTTTGTAAGATGGCACTAATTTTCTCCTCTTTGGTTCACATATAAACTCTAGGGTGAAGAATCAAGTAACTGTGCAGCACATGAGGGTAATCAAGGATCTGACAGCCCAAATTGAGAGCATGGAAGCCAGTCATAGGCAGGACAGGAAGAAGTTGCAAATGGATCTACAAGAGAGAATGAGAGAGAGTGCTCAGAGGTAACCCGACTATACAAGGATTCTCTTCTTTCCTTTCTCCTTCTGTACCCGTTCTCCCTTCTCCTCTGTTCTCCTCTATTCTCCTCCCTTCTCCCCCTTCTTTCTTTCTGTTGTTTTGCTGCTGCCATGCCTCGCATCAATTTGTTAATCCACCTTTCATCCCCTTGTGTTTCCTCTCCTGGCACCCCCTTGCCTCTTTCTCTCTCCTCAACTTTCCTCCTACCCTGCCCCACCCATGCTCATATGCCTGCTTCCTCCTTTCCATGGGTTTGTGTCGTCCTTGGGCGGGGACCATGATATTCTCCTCCATGTCTTTCCATTGTTAATGGTTGTCCCAAAGGATTACTTTCTTTTCTTCCCTTCTGGGTTGGTGAAGGAGGGAGAGAGAGGAGTGAGCACACACACACACACACACACACACACACACACACACACACACACACACACACACACACACACACACACACACACACACACACACACACACACNNNCACACACACACACACACACACACACACACACACACACACACACACACACACACACACACACACACACACACACACAGACACACACACACACACTCTTGACTCCCATGCCATGGTCGGCTGGGACAATAAACAGAGGCTTCTTGAGGGGTTTCAGCAGCAAAACACAGTGTCAAACTCACATGCGATCATCTGAAGCAGAGGACATCACAAGATGCCTGACCAGTGCATACAACAGCGAGCAGTCGGTGTCCAGAATAAGCTGGTACCAGAAGGGTATTGGTGGACAATTTCCAAGAGACAAAACTATAAGGTATGGTGGTACCAAGGACATGCGAAAAAAAGAGAAACATCGGCTACCCAGCAAGAGGTACACTGGTCGCGCCCTGGCCAGATCTGTAACACCTTTGTTCCTCTTATCCTTGCTCACATCATGCGAGAGTGGCTTCAAGTTGCATCAAATGGAGTGCATAAAGGATAGCCCCTGTGATCGGGTGCGCCAGCCGTACCTCTTCTTAGCTCCGACAACACAAAATGAAGCAGCGAGGCACAACCGGGTGCCAACCGCATGGCCGAATGCATCGTATGGGACTTGGATGCAATAAGTAAAGCACACAAAAATTGAAACCAAATGTACTCTGTAGTCATGTCACACATGGGGTAGGAAGGGAACATTATCTAAGGGGAGCGTCTAAGTGCCAGCCACATCACATGGTCTTGAACTGCTTGTGTGTTAACAAGCACCTACACCTGCTCGGACGCCCTTGCATGTGGTTGGTGAATCTCTAACCGGAGCCATGGGCCACCCCTTAGATGCTCTTTTGGTTCATTTGAGTTTGGGTACACCGGGTCATGGATGCATATCTACACTGGGGTGGGGTAAATGTTCCTCAAGGGGCTTGCCTTTTATGAAGTTTTATCCCAGCTTCCTTTACCAATTGGTTAAGTGATCCACCTCTTTGGTGGCACATCACAGGTTCAATAATTCAAATCCTTTTTTTCTGTTCCCCCTCTTTTTGTTAATAAATTAAATGAGGCCGTATGGTCCTAAGTCCTTCGTAGTATGGGGAGCATCCGCCGGGTTCCTCTTCCACCGACATGTCAAGATGATACAACACTTCATAGTTCATACACACGTGGCTCCGTGCTTTAACGCCAAAGGGCCCTCTGCGCAGCATTGAATGCTACTAAGGAGGAGGGTTGACTGCCAGCTATGCCTGTTCCTTGTTAAAGTCCTCTCACTCTACGCCTTTGTAGAATGCCAGATCGACTTGAAGAGCTAAAATCCCAAGAAGCAAGCACTTCTCTTGCACTTTTCTTGTGTGGATGTTCTTGACTCCCAGCCGCCATAAGTATTCCATTCCGTTGATATAAACTTATAAACTCTCTCTCTCTCTCTCTCTCTCTCTCTCTCTCTCTCTCTCTCTCTCTCTCTCTCTCTCTCTCTCTCTCTCTCTCTCT